TAACTTCAACTCTTCTGCACTCGGCACATAATAGAAGGTTCCTTGTACTGGGCGGACGGCGCTGATCAAGCTATCGACGGTTACGTCACCAAGTTTAGAATGCTTGTCATTACCAGCGATATTTGCCAGAATGGTCTTGAAAACCTCAGTATTGTTGCACCAGTGCATGTACATCAACCCTTCTTCTTGGCTTGGTTGGTCTGCTCGACCGTAAGGCATTGAAACCCGGAAAACGCGCTTATGCCTCAAAAGACCATTCACTGGTGGAACGTCGAGTTCTATATGCGCGCGTGAGATGTGAGCACGTTTGTCCGTGTGGGGAATGATTGTGTCTGTGCCAGTTTTCCTCCCGATCATGTCCCCTCTTTGAATCTGTCACATTGTAAAAATTTATATCATTGATGAGTCAAGATCTAAGATACCAAGGCTAAAACTATAAATTTTGATAGGATTTAAAGTTATCGCCTAGTGTTCGTTTCTCCGGCGTTTCAAAAAGAATCTACTTATCGTTTCAAAAGAAAACCTTTTTTTCATATGAACTGATTCCAGGGTTAGTTTTGTTTTTAATGGTAACAACTTAAAATGAAAAGGCTCGAAAGGGTGAATATTACTACTTGTTAGAAGACAATCGAGGATCGAAAGCAAGAGAATTTCATGTTATTACCTTGTCCATATTTCCGAGGACCGTCCAGTTGAACTCAAACTTCTGTGCCAGAAGGTAGCATGATCCAGGGTAACCTGATAACGCTCCTTCATTCTTGACAATGTAATTCTTGATGCTCTCTGCGTCACAAGGATTTGCTACTCCATCAATAAAGGAATTTTGAATGATCCGCTGAGGAAACAATAAAATACAGCAACAGGTCACAAGGGCATGGTAGATGCATTTGTTAATCACTAAAAATAGAGATCTAACTTTCATACAAAGAATATTTTTTAAGGCGTTTTTCTCTTTCGACTCAAGCTAAGATATACTTTAATCTCCGAAGCAGCCGTTGGTGGAGAAGGGGGAAGGGAGGGAGGAAGACAGGATAAGAGCAGGGTTCATAACAAAGGAGTTGGATCGGAAAAGACAATAATCTTTCAATTCCTAGCAAGTCACATGACATTATAGTTCATACCTTCAAAATGAAAAGTTTTTATCCAAATATTTCAATGACACTGAAATGAATAGGTCTAGATATCACTCTAGTCTCCTTCAGAAAGCAGAGGAAGAGAGGTACAAAGTAAATGAAATGGGGTACACTTAAAGAAAGAGGAATCTTACACGGTAATTACATTTGTATAGTACATTTAAATTCAAACGAGAATTCCAGAAAAAAATGGCTCTTGTTCCGCTTTTATGAACAACGCCATCCGCGCAAAAACAAATATATGATCTTGTTAGCAGTTCTAGCCCATAAATGGATTAGTGCGAAAAATTCGTTTCCATTTTCGGTTAGTGCCTCAAGCAAGAGTTGAATTACCTTCCTCCTTTACCCTTTTAACAAGATGATGTGTCTCTTTTTTTTCAGAAAAACAGAGTCAACAAATTCTTACCTTACTCGGGGGCTTAGAGTGGGTCACATCCAACTTGTCGCAAAAAGGTTTCATATTTTTCTCAACACGCTGAAGAATTTTCTCCACTTCCCCGACAAAGTTTGATTTAAGCAAAAAGAAGACATCTCCTTCGGTGTCCAGGAATTTTTGCGAGTCACGGACGAGCTTCTTACCCGGGGGACGGTTATCAAGATTCGCCAGTTTGGGGTCATCTTTATACCATTCACTCCACTGGTCTGGGTCAAATGCCACATTTGCCCTGGTAAATGACTCTGAAAATTGCAATGACAAACCAGGGTGGATATACAGTTTTGTCTCAGATTTACGAACTGCTAGAAATAACTCTCCGTGACTATATGGTTTTGTCGAAGTCCGAAGTACGCATTTTAAACAGCAACGAACACCGAGAGAGGAATATTACCCCTGGAAGGACGGGCAAAAAAATTTAACTCGATATTGCCCAATTTCATCCCTCACAGCAGTTAAGTTTGCCGTTCCTAAAGGCTTGTAATTCGTGAGAAAAAATGCTGAGGTATTGAGCGATGCTAGTTTTTGAGTCAGTCATATTTTTAAAAGTCTGTCTGACAACTTAGGAAAGAGTGCAACACGAGCATCTAAGGAGGGTCGGAAGTGTCACATCAAGAGGCCAGAAGTCACGTGTGCTACCTTCTTATATAACATCTTCCACATGTTTAATCTATTTTTCATTTTTCATTGTTTGGATGAGCGCTGCTTAATTTATTGAAAATGACCTCCTTATAGTTTAACTTTCTAACCGTTTCCTTTAGCTTTCTCCAATTCTAGAGCGTAGTTGACGACGTCACGTACAGCATCCAAAATTTGGTCCCGAATAGTGAAGATATTTACAGGAAGATCTTCCTTGTAGAAGGCAGTGACGAAGATTCCGTACTTTGGTTTGCTGATAAACAAGCCACGCTGCGCCTTGTGGAGGAGTTTGTCCTCAAAAAGAGCCTGGACCAGAAAAAGAACACTGGTATTGACGAGTTTGAACAAAAATCACATACCATCAATAAAGTGTAACTCTCCTTTTGGGAATGTTCCATTCAGTTGCTACTTCTAAACAAATTGATGGAAAAGGGGATATCAATGAAAGGATCTCACCTGCAAACTCATTTTGATAACTTGTTTCCTGCATAGGAAAAGTAAATCGATTACTAAGTTCATGATATAACTGAGATATCAAGCGTACTCCCATTGGACATACTTAAATCAGAATATAAAAACAAGGATTTTATGTTTTCGATTCGCACTTATATTTGAGATATTATTAATACTTTTACATCGGCATCTAAACCCCAAAGTCCTGAGGGGAGGAACAAGGGAAAAGTCCTCCCTTGATCAAATGGTCTTGTGATTAGATTGTATGACGTTTGTATCATTGAGAAACCTGAATTCAGTGGCAGAAAATCGTTATCAGAAAGGTCTTTGGACGCACTTATCTTCCTTCATTATTGCCTTCTCTCTTTCTTTTTTTATTTTTTGCCATGGTTGTGTTTCTAAGAAATCTTTTCTCACACGTCTGCTACCACGAATTATTTCACATCATACAGGTTTTTCTGGGCTATATGGTCGGAAATATCATCCCAAATTTTCAGCGGTCATCGCATGAAATCACAGAGGGGTCACCATTTTATGGGAAACGTTGGATCAAATTACCTTTGTAGTATTCTGGGCAGGCTCCATAAGGTTTTTGATCGCGCGAGATCTGGACGAGAACATTGCACGAGGTTTAAAAATTTTGATTGGCAAACATAACGGGCTAAATGCGATCGCACGATTATCATTTAAAAAAGGTGTATTAAAACGTTACAAAATTATACAGTTTTTATGTAACGGACCCCAAGGTTTGCAAAAACTATACCCATAATATCCACAGGCCTTCTACGCCTGACTGGAAAGAGGTTAACAGAGAAAAAATTAATGATTAAAAAGTTATTTACGCGCAGTTGCCTCTGTATAATTATTGAGTCCGTTGCTGTTGAATTTTTTGACAGTGGCTTTTTTTTCTAGGGAAGCTCTAATTTTTGCCGTAAAGTTCCATTGATGACTTAAGATAATATACGTTTTTTGGGCTATTTGGCCTAAGTTGTTATGACAAGTTTAAAGCGCATATCAACTTGAATACCACCGCAGAGGTGTTGAATTATCTTTAACTATTATTGGTTGAATTAGCTCCATTGGAGTGTCATCTCCTTGCTTGACGTAAAACCAATCAATCGAGCAAATCTTTTCAAGAGTGCTATTAGCAACTGCTCCTTTGTACGTGATCATATTTGCATGTTCTGACCATTGCTCGCAGAACCAAGCGTGGTGAAAAGCACGTACATTCTACCAGACATTTAAGCTGAGTTGAAAGCGATGAAATGTTCTCAAAAAAAAATTGTCAGTAAAGAAATTTTTCTCACATTTACTAGACTGCAAATTTTTTTCAATACCATATGAAACCATAGCCAAGAGGTACGAGAGATCGCGATGAAATTAACCTCAACAACGAACTTTCTTCTGCGCGAGTGAAAGGCGAGTGTGCATTCGGTTTGCTGAAGAGTCGATGGAAAATACTACAGAAACAATTAAATGGTAGTATTGAGTCTGCAATTAAAAATGCTATAGCCTGTGCAGTTATCCACAACCTTTGCATCTGATGGGAACAACTGGGAGGGAAAGAACAATGATGACGACGACCCTTGTCCCAATGCTGGGCACAATGTTATCAGGGATGGAGATAACATGAGAGAAATTCTTAAATACTGCATCCGTAATTGCACATGATAAATGAAAAAAAAAATAGTATAACCCTAAGCAATTCTGGCCATTGCGTAAAAAATCAGTTCATAAGATTATATTACAGTCATTCACTAAATTAATTCATAATCAAATATAATCAACAAGCATCTTCATCTTCTTCTGATACTTGCTTGTGGTCTGGTATAGTAAATTTGGCGGTGTCACCGAAAAGAGCGGGGAACTGCGACGGATTTTTATGGTTGTAAAATCCACGTCTGTCCATGGTAAAGAAAGAGCACGAGCTGAGGCAATATCGCGTGTTCGATTAATTTTATCACAACTCTTCTTTTAGATTTTTATTTATTGACGAGCATTCACAGTTACCGCTGTGATTTTTATTTTTCAGCTCGAGTTTTCTGAGTTCTGCCTGCCCAGCCTAAGCACTACGGCGTGCTTAATGTTCTTGCCAATTTTTAAGATTTTTGCCAACCGGAAAAGTTGGGGTCCTACCAGGCAATGTCCCCCGATGACAGATTTTAGGCCGCAAAGTTAACCGATTCTCGCAAAAATTTACCATGTACGACCCATGCCAATGGCAATTGACGACTCATTTCGCGGTTGTATTACATTATTAATTTCCTGTTTTTCTGAGAATGTCACGCAATGGAAAAATTGCTAGTCTCCTATAGTATTCCAACGCTTTGATATTATAAAACGGTGCCATCAAATGATTCCATTAAATAATTCCATCCTATGGAAATTAGTATAAAGAGTTGGCGTTTGTGCAAGATCACTTTTTCAAAGAGATCTGATACCGCCGACTGTTATACTACTGGTTCTATTGGAGTGTTATCTTCTCGCTTGACGTAATCCCAATCACCAGGGCAAATCTTTTCGAGAGTCCTGTCAGAAACTGCTCCTCTGTACGTGATCTTATTTGCATTTTCTAATCCATTACTCGCAGAACCAAGCGTTGTGAAAGCAAGTACATTCTACCAGCTGAGTTGAAAGCGATGAAATGTTCGCAATGGGCTTCTGTTTAGCAAAAATTGTTTTCTGTCATTGACTGGACTGCGGCACGTAAAAAACTTGCTCTGTGTGCAATGTTTTACGCACTGTACTCTCCAACTCTGCAGACCTTCGCTCCAGTCATATTGAGCAAAACATGTTTGCAGACTGCAGTCGGGTGTGGCTCTTACACTAATTGCGAGCAAGCCGTAAATGTGTTCGAAATGTTCACTGAATAATTTTCAAGCTAAACTTTGCAACCAAAACTCCTTTTCAACTCAGAAAGGAATAATAGCATCCAGTAATCATACTTTTGAAGCAAACTCGGTAGAAGGGTGTGAACACAACGAAATCGAGTTTAAAACAAAAATCGAATCTTAAAAGAAGTTGAGCTATAATCTCGATCGATCAAAAAAAGGCTAGATAAAATTTAAGCGTGGAAATGTGGATACTTACCTAATTTTGTTACTGTCCGAGCGACCTGAAAGGAATCCGTGTACGCGCCGCCTAGGAACAATCGACACTCCCGCTAAATATGAATGCTTTATTACGTCATGTTTACGACCAACATCAGGTGATGGTACCACTCTTCTGATAAGGAAGGAGAATTGGCATTTTGATGTAAAGTAAATGACTATATTTTTTTTGATACATATCTATAATCTCTCAGCTGACCTTAAAAAAAATAATAACTACTAATTAATTACAGTAGTTTTATTTCATTAATACCCCAGGGGTGTCTAGGTTAAAGTAAAGTACGGCCAAATAAGGAGGGTGGAGGGATGGCAGAATCATCTGACTGGAACCAATTTGTCCCTTTCAATTTTGCGCCTGCCATTTGTTTTTCAACATAGGAAGGACATGTAATTACTACTAAAATTTTTGAGATGTATGGGGCTGGAAAGGCGATTATTTCGATAGCCTGTAAAATAGTTTAATAACCAACAATAATTTATCAGCTGACCTTGAAAACCAATATCGATTATATCGGTTAGTTGCTGTACTGATTACTTTATAGCCCACGGGGAGGTGTAATAATTATGATAACAGGATAGAGTAGAGTCCACCTCGGTCTGTAATTGTACAAGTGATTTCATATTCAAATTCGGACGACCGCGAGACCGATTTTCGAGTCCAATTTGGTGTCCAATTTAGTTAACCACGAGTAGAATTTCAGACAGAATTGGAGGACACGAAGTTCTGTTACCAGTTAATCAAAACTATGACAAAATTTGAGAAAGTAATAGACAGTGGTTATACGTTTTCATAAAAAAAAACAACGGCGACAACAGCGTATTGTCTACTTGCAGAGGCAATATCCTAATTAATTTTGATATCTTTTATAATACTAACATAGCAACAGATGTCTTCTGCGTCAGTTGACAGAGGAAACAACACTTTTAAGCTTGAAAGATATGTTTCGAAAGTTCTTCCCCCATCTCCAGTTTAAATCGACGCAAAGTTCAAAGTTGAATTTATAATGCTACAAAAGAAGGATGTCAGAAGTATAGTAGTTGACGGTACCAGATCACTTCGAAGAAGAGGTCTTCTACAACGCCAACTCACTATACTACTTTCTATGTGATGAAATCTTTTTATATATTTTTCTATGCAGTAGGAGACTAGCGCTATGATCTCACATCAATTTTCCATTGCGTGACATTCTCAGAAAACAGGGAAGACAATGACGTAATACAACATGGGGCTTTACCGCGGAAATGCGTCATCAGATTGCTATTGTTCTCCGGTCATGTGAAAGTCTCGTGAGATCAGGTGATCTTTACAAATACATATTCAAAGCTGTTTTTTAAAGAAACATTACCAGTAACGTTTGTCAGTAAAGTTTATCGGTAAAGTTTGTCAGTAAAGTTCGTCATTGAAGTTTGTCAGTGATGTTTACTTTCGGATTTTGTGATGGCCATAAGCGTAAGATGTTATACCATCTTCATGAATGTATCGCTCATCATCAAAGCAGCTGAGTGACACTTTATTTAGTTCATAGCTTCCGAGTTGATGATTGTAGTTTCTGATAGTTTTCATTTTATGATGCATTTGTTTGTTATTAAATGATACGTTTTTGTATTCTTTATGCTTGACGTCTTTCTTGATGACAATCTTTTAATTCCTTTAGCTGTTCTGTAAAAAGCTGTTTAGCTGTAAAAATCCCCTTGTTTGGTAATTTTTTAATTTTATTATTTTTTTCATTAAATTTATTAGAACTGTTCATATAATCATATGGAAAAACTCCTTTTTTGTTTCTTCATCAGGCAGATTGCCTGCCAGTTTATCAAGACTAGAGCTCATAAATTGGAAACTTTAAAGAAGCACAAAATGCTACCCTAACATGAAAGCGATATATTTTCCATGTTTTTTGGTATTACATTTATTTCCTTCTCTTTTTCTTCACCTTTTTTGCTTTTTTATGTATGCTTTTTGGCCATTTCACCAATCTCTTACATAATGAAGTGACTGTCATATCATCGTAGATTATGGAAGACAGTGGGTACCTTGATTTTTTTATGCCTTTAATCTAAAATGTTGGCATAACAATGTTGATGAGCCGATCATCTTTATCTTCCAGTTATGTGACAATGACCTCTCACTTTAATATCTTTGTCGAAACATTTTTAATCACAAATATGACATTCATCAGCTTTCTTAAATTTTTCTTCGCCTTAGTCATTTCTAAGGGTTTATTAAAATTTTTCTTCATTGGTTTTTTTTACATAATTCAGCTGCAATTAGCATATTTACCATGAAATTGTGAACTGCATTTTCTCCTCTATATACTGAACTGGTTTGCTTTATTTATCATAAGAGCAGACAATTGCAACCTTATACCCATATCTACAGTCTTTATGATTCTGATATCATTCTTCTTTTTAAATTCTATCTTTCAACAACACTGTCTTTTTCCTTCATTTTCTCTTTAGTATATTGTCGTGTCATGTTTGTCCAATAACTCTTTGAGATGTTTATTACAGAACTCCTTACCTTTGTCAACCCATAGATATTAGTCTGTTTCTTTTGTTTCACGCAATAGAGTTAACCATATAATATATCTTTATATTTTAAAAATAATTTATGATGAGTCTGTGATTTACTTTAGGATCTATTAGATTAAAATTCACATTATGAATGGTGTCAAGAGGGGACACTCCTTTCTGTCCTTCATTCAGATAATATAAACACCAATATCCACGAAGAACAGTTTCTTTCTTAGATCGTATCTGATAAACAGATCAACTGCTTTCCAGCTGTATTCAAATACTTTCTCACTTCTTGTGGCATTGTCAGACCAAATAAATCAAAATATTCACAAATATTTTCTGTATTTCTGTAACAGACCCAATGTGTACCTATACCAATTTGAGTATCAAGATTGATACTCCCACATTCTTTTTTGGCAATCTTTGCGGGTACATTTTCTCTGCTATATACCCCTCTGAAAATCTTTATCCCAGATTTTTGATTCAAGCTAAATCAAAATTAAACAATGGTTTACCTAAGAATCTCAGAGAATTGATCCCAGAATCGGAATGCTTTCGAATGGTAATTTTTGCCCACTAGTATTCCTTTCCCTTTTTTGCTTTTTTGTTTGTTGTTCTTTTTATTTACTTTTTTAACCCCATACTAATCGGATTATTATTCCAACTGCCAAGAAATGGGGGTGGTTGCCACAGTTCAGATCTCAGAATATTTAAACCACCATCTTTTTTATCAATGCTTGATTTTGATTGTTTTGGCACATACACAGGAAGAGATCTCCTTGATATGTGTTCAGGATCAACCTGCAAGCCTTCCCTGTTAAAGCATTGAACAAAAGAGGAATACCAACACTTGCAAGAAGAGTTCCAAGGAAACCACCCTATTGTTTTCTTGTGGGTCCGATTCTCACTTGACCTCCATTTTTCAAGGCCATTTGGTGATCTGATTTTTGTTTTGGTGTTAGAAAATCTCGGTATTGTGTCACCATACCCAGACAATTGTGATTTACGCACTCATTATACCTAAGCTAAACAATGCCAATATTTTATTGTATGGACTAACCAAATTTCTGATAGATCGCCTACAAAATGTCCAGAATGCTACGACCCGCGTTCTTACTCGTACCAAGAAGTACGAACGCATCAAACCTGTTTTAAAGCAGCTACACTGGCTTCCAGTTATTAATTACAAGATACTACTACCAACCTACAAAACGGTCAACGCCCAGGCTCCAAGAAGAACGTAAGAAGTAGGAAACCTAGAAATGGATAACTCGCTATAATGGCTTAATGACCAAGTAAGCAGTTAAACAACAAGCGATGCACTGTGCAGGTAAGGTGAGATATTCTTCATTGAGAATTTGACTGTATTTTTACTTCCCAAGAGCGGTCGTAAATATTCCCGAACAAACTCTCATATTTTCGCTACTGATCTTGAGTGCACGACACCGTCCACCCCAGTAATATAGTGCATTGATGTGTTTGGAAAACGGATCGAGTCGTCCCCTTCTGCGAGAAACATTGGAGCCATTTTCGATATGCACATGATACTAGATAAACACGTCATCCGTAACTGTAAAGCCTGCTTCTTCCACCTTGGAAACATCAGCAAGATAAGAGAACGTTTCTCTATAGCAGACACCGAAAAGTTAGTTCACGCAGTTATTACATCTAAGCTGGACAATGCCAATTCGTTATTGTATGGAATGCCCAAATTTCTGATCGATCGCCTACAAAATGTCCAGAATGCTGCTTCCCGGGTTTTACTCGTACCAAGAAGTACGAACGCATCAAACCTGTTTTAAAGCAGCTACATTGGCCTCCAGTTAACCGGCGAATTAATCACAGGATATTACTACTAACCCACAACGACCAGGCCCCTCGCTACATTGCTGAACTGCTGAAGCCCTATGTACCCACCGGGAATTTGAGATCCTCTTCCAATAACTTACTGTAAGTACCATCTGTCAAGCTAGTAAGTTACGGCCATAGATGTTTCTGTTTCGGGGAACCCAGCCTATGGAATTCTTCCCGACAACATCAAACAGGCTAGCTCACTATCACTATGAAAATGAGTTTAATTTGCATGTGAATGAAAAATTTTATTCATATAAAACGGTGAGCACCAGGACTCACTTCGAAAATGAGGCCAAAGATAATACGAAAATGGGCTATTGGAACAAAATCATAGTTTTCTATTTATTGACTGCAGTACTTTTGGCATTAAATTTGTTGTGGTTACATTCAGAACTTGACATAGAGAGATTATAATGAAAAAGGCGACAACTATAAGCTTTTTCCTGCTGAAAACCATGCGAAAACCGTTCAACTTCATTTCAATAAATCCACACGTTAAGTAAACAGACCGATATGCCACAACACGGCGATGGGTCAAGGAATCCAATACTTCATGAAGCATGGTAATACATTCTCCTCTCCTGGTGTTTCTGATGTGCGGTGAAGAAAGTGATGAAAAACTCGCTCCAGCCCCCTGTGCGAACGCGGATGAGATCATACTGTTCTGGGTTGTTTTGGGCGTTGGTTAGTGTTTCAGGATTGGCACAGGTCACTATAAAGAAAAACAACAAGTTGTTAGAGTGTTTACCGTATTAAATGCTCTCTGCTTGCACCAGGCCCTAGAGAAAAATTAACTCAGTTATTCTCTACCATGACGCATATCACTTGCTCAACCATCACTTTTAAAATACTGTTGTTCTATTTTTTTAACTTGTGGGGATCCCCCTTAAGATTAATTTCTCCAGCACAATGCCCCCCAATAAAACTAAATATAATTTGACTTGTTATCATTGGGCTAGTTAGTGCAATTGTAGTTTGTTTGTATGACCAAAGAGGGTTCTGGCTTCGTAAGTTTCTGCGCTTCAGGCACAGGGTTCCCTTTGGCTTTAAACAGAGTCCCCTCTCTTCTAACATTTGTGCTCTCTCTGATCGGCAACCTAATTGAAAAGTTTTATTTAAAAAAAAACCCATGCACCAGCGCAATTAAAAACCTTAATTAATTTTTTCAACATATGTTCATATGTATACTCGGGGAGAGTGTTTCAGACGTAATGTTTAGCATGAATCACCTGTTAAAATGTTTCCTCCAATACCCTTTAGGTCGGCATAATTCCTTAAGAACTCAACCAAGTCACTCTCTTTAAAGTCTTCCATAATCTTCAAACCGATTTCTGCGCCGTTTGCGAAGCCAACGTTGATAGAGTGCATATCCCAGCTCTTCAAAGATCTAAATATAAATGAAACGAAAGCCTTGTACGTATAAAGAAACGAAAGCCAGGAAACGAACGAGACCTTGTTCTAGAACAAAATGTTTCAGTCGTGCGACTCATACAGATGTCATTTTACGGTGGTTATATCACCTTAGCAAAAGTTTGGCACTAGAATTTATACGTGGAACAGGATCATGCGGAGATCAATGCTGCGCTTGGAATGTTTAGTGCATGTGTAAACGGATCGACCAACAATCACTCTTCAAACGCGGAATTGAATGAAAAAAACGCACTGATGCAATATCATTTGTTCAAAAACAAGCACAACCCTAGTCATTTTTTGTCACTAGGCCCGCAACTGAACCAATTTTTGTATAAGATATCGTCTTTGTCAAATTTTTGGGTGCGTGTGTGTGAGTGAATACTTTTTTAAAAAACCTACTTATAGATATCAAAGCTCTTTGGTATTGATGGCTTATCCAGAGGCGTGGTAGCAGCACCGAAATCGGAGGCTATGGGTGAGCCTGATCGCCGACCATCAGCTGAAGCCCCACATCCTGCTCCCCAGCCAACGTATCCTTCAAATGTCCCTGATCCTGTCGGCAGCAGTACATCCCATGGTGCTCCTGGCATCGAGTACTTTTTTCTTAGGCTGTCAATCAACTCGCGTAGGGGTTGATGAGCTTCCGGACTCGGGCGGGATACTTTACTTACAACTGTTGTAACTTGTTCTGCAAGCCAACTGCAAAAATTATAAAAATTTCTTAAGCAAAAAAGGTGCTAAGATGAGAGGCAACCTGTTTAATCCTAAAGCAATAATGATACACGACGTGTTCGTTTTGTCAAACAATAAAGTTCATCTCTTAAAGAGTTCGCATTAACTCGGAGAGACATTGGTTCAATTTCCTTCTCGTGACATCCTTATTAATAAACACTGAATGACACGTTGACCATGACCAGTTAGTAGCGAATAGACAAAGACGTCATGATGGTTAATAATCAGTGAAGACAAAGTAAGAATAAAGAAATTTTTTTTCTTTATCTCACATCATAATGCGAGAGGACTACACGCGTCTTTGGTGATTTTGGACGAACTTGCCTCATAAAATTGTAAAATATAAGTCAACGATAAAGTTAAGAAAGAATATCTAACTGTTCTTAGGGGCTTCCAGATTCAACTCACCTAGTAATTTCTTGGATGTCTTTGTTCTCCGCACCAGCACTGGTTCCAAATTTTGGCAAGTTAATCGCTGTCTCGCGTACTGCCTTGTACGTGTCCGACAGCCGCTGACCTCGGGTTGTGCCAGAAATCTCGTCATGGAAGGGCTCTTGCATGTTGTATCCCCAGTCACACTTGAGGCACCGAACTAACTCGGCCAAGGAAATTAGAGCCGAGTCGCGATCAAAGCAAAGCTTTTTGATGGCGTACAGAGCGTCGACAGTGTTGGAAAAAGAGATGAATTGGACGCCAACAAGTGTGTGATTAGCACCACCGTTATAAATGTCCCGCTGTGTTTCAAGGCAACCTCGGATGAGGGAAGAGAGCAGAGGACTAGGAGAGTACTGCACAATGTTGCCATAGTTGAGAAGCAGAAAGAAAAGGTTGTACCCAGTTCGCACATTAAGGTGCGTGGCAAAGATCTCTTTGACCTAAAGAACAATCAATAAACATTTAAATAAGGGAGAGAAATGACAAACTATGTCGTCCACAAAACATTTCTCCAGCACAAGTATCGTTTCCAAATATTTGCAGGCAAAGCGAGGTATATCATTGGAGAGATCTCCATCAATTCCTTTTATTTACCGACGGGAGGGGACAGAGGGAAGCCCGTGTTCTAAAAGACATTTTACCAAACTGGTCTGAATGGATGTTCCGTTGTATTTTTATTCTTGCTAAAGATGTTGGATTGATAACCACTAAACATAGAAAATTATGCTCAACTCCTAACCTTCGCTTTCTTTTTGGAACAGAGTGTGTTTCACAGCGAAAGCAACGCAGGGGATGAAAGCACTCCGGCCCCCCTCCCCTCTTAGAGAAGATTAACGTGAAAGAGAATATAAAGAAGGACCTTACCTTATCAAAGCTGTTAATCTCTTCCGCATGTTCTGTTGGCAGAGACTGTGGTACACCCTCCAAATACTTTGGCCCAGCGAGCAAGTACGTTGAGCCATGGTTGATTGTCATTTCAAGCACTTGTAACAGTGGCACAGAAGCCAGGGAGAAGTCTGTCTCTCCTGGAAATATTGGCTCGTAGCAACCGTCACAACAGTAATTCCGTGCGCTTTTCAGGCTCACTGGCACGTCTGTAGCGTCTCCAGCCTCTAGAAGGCCCTGAATTAGGTGTTCATCATGGGACAAAAGTGGATGGGCCCCGCCACTTAGAATCGCTTTAGCGGCCTCCTCGAGAACCTGTTTACATCAAAAAAAAATATTCGAATCATACAACTAAGACGACTTCCTCTTCATTGACAATTGTAAGCAGTTTTAAGTGGCGCACGTATCACCCTTAAGGACTAAAGCTGTATAGCTCCAGCTGGGCACAAGGGCAATATAATTTACAACCAACGTAAGATAGTTTATACCTTACCACATTAATAGTACGTTGATTAAGTACAAATAAGGATGATGTTAATCCTAAGAGAGGCCATGCGGCCGCTCGTCCATATTCCAGCAAATGCAGCATTAATTTATTCCACTTAATTACTTGAAGGCCGTGTTATTCTTTTTCTCCAAGTTCCGTTTTAATATTCTTACCTCATTGGTGGTTGTTCACATTGGGTTTATTCCTTATGTATACATATACATATGCACAGACAGACAGACAGACAGATAGATAGATAATTCGCTCTTCGTACCTCCTGCGGCATATTTCTATGTACTCGAAGGGACAAACACGGGGCATTAAGTGGAAGCCTGCGTGAGGCTTTCAGGCACATGATTGTCACGTCATTGCAACCACATTCTGGCTCTGCTGCGTCATTTGCCTTGTAACCGCCTACAGTGATCTAAAAAGCAAGACCTACAATCATCAGTGAACGGATTTTAGACAAATTTCTTGTAGCTCTGTTGCCTAAAGTTTAAGAGAGAATAGAAAAATGAGTGAATTCTGAAGTCTTTAATTCGAGGGAGAACAAAGGATTTGGTGAATTCTTCGAATATTTTTTTAAACGTAAGCTAGAAGGTAGAAGTAAGACGTTATGTCGGTAATCAACTGGAAGTAAAATACTACGAAATTTAAAGAGAGAATGGCAGAACGGCGATTATTTAGGACCGTAAAAGGTCGGATAGGTCGGTAGAGTCCTAACATCATAACACTAGCATGACAAATTTAACCTTGACGTCGAAAAAGAGTACTGAAAAACCAGAATCCTCAGCTCACCTGCTGAACCCATTGGTTGATGGTGTCACCGTTGGGAAACATCCCTGTGGAAGCGTACGGTACCGCTGTCATACCCCAAGTACCCAAATCATTCAACAGGCGCGAGTTGACATGAGCATGTTCACAGAGTTTGACAAACAGGCAGTCAATGATTTCCTGGGCGTCTTCAGCAGATGTACCCGGCAGGAACGGCAATAGGATTTGATCCAGACGTCCAATAGATGTTGGTTCTCCAATGAGGTGCAAGCAGCAGTGATATGAGTATAACAGTTGAACAGCTTCAACGAACGTCTTTGGACGGTCGGTTGAAATCTTCTTCATTCTTGTCTCTATCTGTTTAAGAGAGATTAATTATTTTGCTTTAACTTGAATATATTTCGCAAAAACGTCAATGGTCAAGGCCCTCCCTCTTTATGTTTGTTATTATCCGCTGTGCTGAAAACTCTCACTATATTAAAACAGATGTCCCCATAGACCGCTTTCACTTCGAAGGCAGGTAGGATTAATAAAGTAGTTAATCTTACAGGATTCTAAAGAATCCACGGCGTTGACAATATATATATCATACTTTTAGACATCACATGAACTCAAGTCTCCGGCAAGGACTACGCTTTCGGGATTTCTCCCATTGCATTGAATTTTACTTATTACTACTGCTACAGGTTTGGATGAAGCAGCCACCTCGAGCCATGCGGATCGATGAATTTTAAGTTTTAAAAGGCTTAATAGGCTCTTGACCCCGATATTTAAAAAAATCTCCGAGTCTTACCTGTTTTAAGTTTTGTTTCTGAGCCTCAGATATCGCGAAGCCACTGTTGTCGGCACAGTAACCAGCCAAAAATCCAAAGTTCCTCATGTACTTCTGTATCCCTTCCAAAGCCAGGATGCAGGCAGTTATGAAGTCTTGCTTCTCTGCAGTTTTTCCTTTCTCGGTTTTCAATTCCTCTATCATTTTTCCCAGGCCATTCTGTACCAGCCTCTCGTAATCAGGAACCACATGCCCCATTCCGGCTGCCTCACTCAGACCCTTGTAGAAGGCTGGAATTACTTCGTACTCATGGAGATAGGGCATCACGGCCTTGCCAAGACCTAGGGAGAAGCATTTGGGCATCCTTCCCACTATGATCTCGTCTGGGTGAAGGTTGAAAAAGTCGGCCTTACAACCGAAGAATGGCTGCTCTGAAGCACGCAGCTTTTGCACTTTGTTTGTGGTAAACAGGCGTCCTAGCGACACCTTTGTAGCCCATCCTTTCCGTATCATGACAGACGCTTCTTTCACCTTGCTCAATTTTGTAGGCTTTAACATCGTGAAGAGGTGCGGAATTTTAGGCATTTCCCGACGGTTGTACCATTGGTCGTTCCATTGCTGAAAGCCGTAGTCTAACAGGCCAAGGACTCGGTTACTTGGAGGGTCTCCGGGGTGGTATCCACCGGTTGTCATACGGTGGAGGTATTCCTTCTGATTGTAAAACAGGTACTCGTTTGATGGGCTTCGTATGTTCCAAAAATCTATGATTTGAAACCTGTAGAGCAAAAAATTCTGTTAAAGTAAAGGAATGTAGTATGATTCCTTTGTAAACTAACATCTCCCATTTTTCTAGTGTTCTTTATGCGTTTTTTTTAACATCTCGTTCTTATTTTATCTCATCAGTAGTGTGGTTTGTGATATGTGGCTGAGATGGAATCTTGCAAGAGCTCTCTAACCATAAGAAGTTGGGAACATTACTTTGGAGACCCCAACACTCGTTACTGAGCGGTAGTGCCAAAACTAATGAAACTTTAATTTTCTGCACTGAAAAAATTAATTGCAAATTATTCTCAGCATGAAAAAATTTTGAACCCAATGTATACGTTTAGGTGCTTACATTTTCTGCATAGTTATCAATAGCAGTAAAAAACATTTCCAATTGCACGTTCAAAAGTATCAATGCAGCCACAGCACTGGCCTTTGGGATCACTGGGAAAATAGAATAAACTCATATCAAAACTCTCTTTCCTCACCCCCCTTCCACCCCAAGATAGTCCGTAAAATATAACGTAAATTTTATCAGTTTTCTAAAACCTGAAATATGAGTGGACACCTGTCTTACCTTCGTTCCTTGATAGTGGATAACTTCAACTCTTCTGCGCTCGGCACATAATAGAAGGTTCCCTGTACTGGGCGGACGGCGCTGATCAAGCTATCAACGGTTACGTCACCAAGTTTAGAATGCTTGTCATTACCAGCGATGTTTGCCAGAATGGTCTTGAAAACCTCCGTATTGTTGCAGCAGTGCATGTACATCAACCCTTCTTCCTGGCTTGGTAGGTCCGCTCGGCCGTAGGGCATTGAAACCCGAAAAACGCGCTTATGCCTCAAAAGACCATTCACTGGTGGAACGTCGAGTTCCACATGCACGCGTGAGATGTGAGCACGTTTGTCCGTGTGGGAAATGATTGTGTCTGTGCCACTTTTCCTCCCGATCATGTCCCCTCTTTGAATCTGTCACATTTTAAACATTTATATAATTGATGAGTCAGGACCTGAGACACCAAAGCTAAGACTATAAATTTCGATTTGATTTAAAGGTATTTCCTAGGGTTCGTTTCTCCCGCGTTCCAAAAGAATCTACCTATCGCTTCAAAAGAAAACCTTTTTTTTTCATATAAACCGATTCCATGGTTAGTTTTGTTTTTAATGCTTACAACTTAAAATGAAAAGGCTCGAAAAGGTTAATATTCTCTCATTTTTAGAAGACAGTCAAGGGTCTAAAGCAAGAGAATTTCATGTAATTACTTTGTCCATGTTTCCGAGGACCGTCCAGTTGAATTCAAACTTCTGTGCCAGAAGGTAGCATGATCCAGGGTATCCTGACAACGCTCCTTCATTCTTGACAATGTAATTCTTGATGCTCTCTGCGTCACAGGGATTTGCTAATCCATCAGTAAAGGAATTTTGGATGATCCGCTGAGGCAACAATAAAATACAACAACAGGTCACAGGGATCTATTTGTCAATCACCAGTTAACTAAAAATAGAGTCTCATACTCAAAGGTAGTTTTAAGGCGCTTTCCTCTCTCGACTCAAGCTAAGACATGCTTAATCTCAGATGTAGCCGTCGGTAGAAAAGAGGGAGGAGGGGGTGAAGGGAGGAAGAAGGGATTGGGACCAAGATTCATAACAGTGGAATTGGATTGGAGAAGGCAACCTTCCAATTCCTGCAAATCACATGAAATTATGGTTCATACCTTCACAAAGAAAAGTTTTTAACCAAATATTTCAATGACATTGAATGGAAATGAGTATCTATTACTTTGATCTCCTCCAAACGGTAGAGGAAGAGGGGTACAAATTAAATGAAAAGGGATACTCAAAGATAGAGGAATCTTTTACGGGGAATCACATTCGTTTAGTATATTTAAATTCAAACAGAATCTCCAAAAAAAAATTACTGCTGCTCTGCTTTGATCAACAACGTTATCAGAGCAAAACTTGGATAGTTAGCAGTTCTAGTCAAATTCTTACCTTACTCGGGGGCTGAGAGTGAGTCACATCCAAATTGTCACAAAAATTTTTCATATTATTCTCAACACGCTGAAGAACTTTCTCCACTTCTCCAGCAAAGTTGGATTTAAGCAAAAAGAATACATCTCCTCCCGTGTCCAGGAATTTTTGCGAGTCACGGACAAGCTTCTTACCCGGGGGACGGTTATCAAGATTTGCCAGTTTGGGGTCGTCTTTATACCATTCACTCCACTGGTCTGGGTCAAATGCCACAATTGCCCTGGTAAGTGACTCTGAAAATTGCAATGACGAACCAGGAAGGATATTTCAGATTTACGAACTGCTCAAAATAACTCTCAGCGACTATTTTAAACAGCAACGAACACCGAGAGAAGAATGTCACTCTTGCCAGGACGTACCAAAAAAATTTAATTCGATATTGCCAAATTTCGAAGTAACTCAAAGTGCATCAGACCTTGTAATGTGTCATACCAAGATGGAAGCTTCAGAGGCCAGAAGTCACGTGTCCTACTTCCCTAAGTAACCTCTCCTACATGTTTAATTCATTTTTCATGAAAGGGATTTTGTAATAATATCATAGAATTTTTATAATTTATTTGGATGAGCGCTACATGATTTATATAGCTAAACTTTCTATCCTACCGTTTCCTTTAGCTTCCTCCAACTCCAGGGCATAGTTGACGACGTCACGTACAGCATCCAAAATGCGGTCCCGAATAGTGAGGTCATTTACAGGAAGATCTTTCTTGTAGAAGGCAGTGACAAAGATTCCGTACTTTGGTTTGCTGATGAACAAGCCACGCTGCACCTTGTGAAGGAGTTTGTCCTCAAATAGAGCCTGTACCCAAAAAAGACACTAGTATCGACCAATTTGAACAAAAAATTCACATACCATCAATAAATCATTGAAGAGTAACTCCAATTTTGGGAATGTTCCATTCAACTGGTACCTCTAAACAACGGACACAACATTGGTTTAGACTAGAAAAATCCTCCTATCTTTCATTGAGAGGACGATGAAGAGAGAACTAATTTTGCAAACGATATGTTTTCTTTAGTCTCCAGCTGCTGTGAGCGCTTCATCAGCCTGTCGACTGTAAATGAAATGGCTAAATTGATAGAAAGGGAGATATCAATTTAAGGATCTCACCTGTAAACTCATTTTGGTTGCTTGTTTCCTGTGTAGGAAAAGGGAATCGATTACTTAGTTAATGATATAACTGAGGTATCAAATGCACTCCCTTTGGACATACTTACATCAGATTATAAAAACAAGGCTTAGAGATTTTCGATTAGCGGGTATATTTGAGATATTTTTCATACTCTTACATCGGTATCTAACCCCGAAAGGGGTTTTAGGCGAGGCAAGGGAAAAGTCCTCCCTTGACTAAATGGTCCTATGACTAAAATTGCATGGGGCTTTATCATTAGGAAAACACGAATTCAGTGGTAGAAAATTGCTATGAGAAAGGTCTTTGCATGGACGCTCTTATCCTCCTCGAGTCGAGTAATCATGGAGAATTGCAAAGATATCTTCCAAGAATAACCGAGCTTGACAACGACATTTGGGAACTACTGAAGGATAATGGTTGTATAAGTTGACGGTGTATTCCTCAACTTTTAGTCAAAGAGCGGTCTTCTAATATTAATTAGTGTGAATTCAATTTTTCGTGCCCTCTTAGGTAGTGTATACCTGAGGGTTAATTTTTAATATCTTCTATACCCACTCTGGTAGTGTATACCTGAGGGTAATTTTTCAATCTCTCTTAGCCATACCCTCTTGGGATATATTTAAGCCCTTCTTTACCATCCTTACGCGGTAGTTGCGTTAGACCATATTCACAAGTGTGAATTTGCTCACAATGACCTAATGCAGACTGTCGTCTTCTTTAAGACATGCATTTTTTCTACGAAAAAAAAAAAGCTTAGCGCACCTCCCCTTGGTTTATTACGAATTAGACCCGCTTAGTTTCTTGGAGGCATTTCTCTGGACTTTTGTTTCTGGATAATGGGCGAAAAAAGTAGTGTTGTACCTGGAAAATGTTTAGAAGTTGCGGTTTTTTCCATTTCAGTCAAGGGGAGCTTTATTACTTTCTTGTGGCGATTATCGGCTGTCCTGGAGTTTTCAGTGCCACCGAGAGGCGTCAAACCTTGGCTTGAATTACTCATGCAAATTAGCTGGCTGCACGTTCAACGTGCAGCCAGCTAATTTGCATAATTTTTTCCAGCGCAAAGCTCGTCATGTTACTATAAACGCCTTTCAAAGTTTTAAAATACCTTAAGAGATGTTTACTCTTAATATATCTTCAGCCAAACAGGCAAATCTCTTAGGGGAAAACTTAACGATGAATTTACCTGCTTTCTTGGATCTCAAAGGAGGTTTATCCGTAAATAGTTTAGGGAGCCACCTTAATTTGGCAAAATTGTTTATTGTTTATAGAAAGACCTAATGAGCCCTTCTTTGCCTAACAAAAGTGTCTTGTGATTACAATTGAGGCTTGTATTTATGGGCAAAATGCAGTCAGGTTAGAAATTAATGATTAAAAAGGTATTTACACGCAGTTGCCTTTTTGTATAATTATTCAATTCATTGTTGTTAATTTTTTTTTTTTAACCAAGGCTGTTTTTTCCAGGGAATTCTTACATCCATGAGCGTTTTTTCGCTTAAACTAGTAGCCAATATGGTTTTAAGTTTTGGAATTATATCGTTAAGTTTTTCAAGGAATCTCTTTTCCCATGTATGTTTCCATGGATGATTTAAGATAATATGCGCTTTTTTGGGCTATTTGGCCTTGATTGTCATCGCAACATCAGATACCACCGCAAAGGTGTTGAGTTATTTTGAATTGTTTATAGGTTGAATTGTTTCTGTTGGAGTGTCGTCTTCTCGCTTGACATAATCCATTACTCGCAGAACCGATCGTAGTGAAAAGCACGTACATTCTATCAGACTTTTAAGCTGAGTTGAAAGCGATTAAATGATATCAATAGGCTTTTGTTGAGTAATTTTTTTTTAGATTGACTGGACTGCGGCATATTAAAAAAAAACGTGAGCTATATGCAATGTTTTAAGCACTGTACTCCTCAACTCTGCAGACCTTCACTCTACTCAAGTTGAACAAAGCACCTCTGCAGACCGCAGTTGGGTGTGGCTCGTACTCTACTTGCACGCAATCGTTAAATATTTTCGAAATGTTAACTGAATAATTTTCAAGCTAAAGTTTACAACCAAGACTCCCTTTCAACCAAATCTTCGAAAGGAATATTAGCATCCAGTAATCATACGTTTGAAGCAACCTCGATAGAAGGGAGTGGATACGACGAAAATCAAGTTAAAAACAAGAATTAAATACAAGAGATGCTAAGAGATTTTTTATCAATCGAGATTATAGCCCTACGTCTTGATCTATCAAGAAAAGGCTAGATAAATTTTAAGCATACAAATATGGATTCTTACCGAATTTTTTGACTGTCCGAGCGACCTGAAAGTAATCCGTGTACGTGCCACCTGGGAACAATCGATACTCCCTCTGAATATAAATGCTTTATTACATTGTGATTATCACCAACATCAGGTGATGGTACTACTCATCTGATAAGGAAGGAGAATTGACATTTTGGTGTAAAGTAAATGACTGCAATTTTTTTTGATAAACAGCTATAATCTCTCAGCTAACTATAAAAACTAATAATTACTACATTATTACTGTAGTTTTACTTAATACCCCAGGGGTATCCAGGTTAAAGTAAAGTATAGCAAAATAAGGTGCGGAGGGTGGCAGAATTATCGGAATGAAACCACTTTGTCATTTTTTAAGTTTACTTCTGCCATTTTATTTTCACCATCGGATGGATTAATGTAACTACTATTAAAATTTTTGAGGCGCATGTGGCTGGAAATTTTTGCAAAGTGATAACTTCGATAGCCTTCAGAATCGTTTAATAACTGGCAATAATTTCTAAGCTGACCTTGAAAACTTCTATCGACGGTTAGTCGCTGTCTTGATTACGAGGGACCTTTAGCAGTTAGGACGGCAACGCCAAGGAAGACGTCAATTTAAAAATGATTATATATTTTCTGTTGGAAATTCATGAATGACTGGAGTGTTCACCATCTCTTGCGGTACCACAGGTTAACTTCAGCATTACGTATGATAGCGGCGTTGAGTTCCAAGTGGAAACTTAAATAATTTGCCGTCGGGGTGTCTTTTCTCGAACCACGCAAATTTTGATGATTTCACGTTATTATTTTTCAGAAGAAAATTAAGAAATGCACACAGTTTTAAAACGCACGTGCTGAGCTATTGTTCTGCTCATTAGATCTTTTGTTTTGCCAAGTCCTCGTTTCTGTCGCCGTCATGGTTTGCAAAAGGTCCTAACTTCAGAGACCAGGGGAAGGTTTAATAATAAATGGTACTAGGACTGAGAGGAGTCTAATTCAGTCTGTAATCATACAAGTGATTACGTTTACAAATTTATTAATTTCCCCCAGTTGTTATTGTGCCGTCCGCGATGATTCAGTTTTCCAGTTTGGGCGCGAAACCTATCGTCACAGTTTACCATCTCTTATGGCGCCGCAATTTAACCTCAGCATAACGTACGAGAGCGGCGTGGAGTTCCAGGGAGAAACTTAACAATTTGCCATCGGGGTTTCTTTTCTCGGACCACGCAAATTTTGATGATTTCACGTTATTATTAAAAATATTTCAGAGGAAAATTAAGAAATGTACACAGTTTTAAAACGCACGTGCCGAGCTATTGTTCTGCTCATTAGATCTTTTGTTTTGCCAAGTCCTCGTTTCTGTCGCCGTCATGGTTTGCAAAAGGTCCTAACTTCAGAGACCAGGGGAAGGTGTAATAATAAATGGTATTAGGACTGAGAGGAGTCTAATTCGGTCTGTAATCATACAAGTGATTACGTTTACAAATTTGGACGACCACGAAGCGGGAGTCCAATTTATTAATTACGATTATAATTACGGAGAATTAGACGACACAAAGTCCTGTTACTAGTTGATCAAAACTATGAGAAAATTTAGGAAAGAAACTAGACATCGGTTATACGCTTTTAATGAAAAAAAACAACAGCGGGCGCTTTTGACGCGTACTCTCTACTTGGAGACGCAATATCGTAATCAACTGTGATATTTGTTTATAATTCAACATAAGAACAGACATCTTCTGCTTCAGTTGAAAGAAGACACAACATTTTTAAGCCGTCATCTCCAGTTTAGATTAACGCAAAGTTCAAAGTTGAATTTATGATGCAACAAAGGTTGTTTATTGATAAAACCACATAGGAAATATTGACAATGTCGGTTTACAAAGAAAGTTTTCGACATGATACAGTAGACGCTTTATTGTGGGCTTTTCCCCTTTAAATGTGATTTATATTTTCTGATCATAAGTTTGGAACCACTAGAAGCGTAAAATGCGAAAAAGAAAAGGAAAGAGAGAGAGATTGAATTTTTTAAAATTTGCATCAGTGACAGGTCCGATCAGCAACTGGGTGCTAACGCAGGCGTAACGACAATGTCACCTCGATTTTTAGCGTCTTCCATTCAAGTTTCGGTTCTGATGATAACAGGTTACATTGATAACCTCACATCTGTCTAAACTGTGGCCCCAAGTTTACCATGCAATATAAACTTGAAAGCCCACATTCAATTTTACGGTTTAAGCCTACGGTCCACTAACATCGGTAAGGAGCATTTTCTCTTTCACAAGTTACTTTGTCGCACATGGAAAGGTATTTGCAAAAAACAAACAAAGAAACAGATGAACAAAACGGTCACCGCCGCGCCCAAACTGATTGAGAACTGTCCCTCTAAGCGCGACAGGGAATTATTGCATACAGATGACCTTTTTATAGCCCGTCGGACTAAGCTACGAAAAAGAAATTCCCTTATTCTATCTGAATTAACAATCTGATGCCTTTCTATCAGATCGTTTTAGCGATTTTCGCCCTCGTCCTTTATATGGTAATGTCCCATCCATATTACAAGACCGGAGTTCTTAACTCAAGGCTTTCGAATCCAAATTGCTATCGTGGTTGAGATACCCAGGATGAGAAAAATAACTAGAAGCAGTCGATCCATCGCTTCTGCTATCTCTCTCCAAGAGTCCTTCCATTCGCCCAGTTCTCTCTTTTCCTTCATAGTATTGACAATGTATTGCAATGCCGATTCGTCAGCGCCTTGTGTGTTTTCCGCCCTTTTTACTTCATTCTCTTCTGTTTCTTGAGGATGTGACGGTGATTTTGACCTTACAAACACTGTGTTGTTTGTTCTCTTTCTTTCGTTTCGCCTGAGCACAAACTTTGCAAACTTGACTAAAGACGCCGACGGTTTTCTCTCGGCGAAGTGGCACCGAAGCACGACGACTGTGCCCACGAGGCTGAACCCGATAAGAAATATAGTCGACATGTAATACAACCCAAGAATCGCTACATCATCGGATGTTTCCGGCAAAGAATCGGCCAAAATCAGGAGATAGACACTCATAGAGAGCAATATGGTGATACAAAAGCTGATTCTCTCGCCACTATCGGGAGGGATGATAAAGTTTAGTATAACAAGGAGAATTATCACCACACAAGGCAGGATTTGGTACAGTATATGATACAAAGTTTTGCGCCGAAAATGGAACGAATAGATGATATTAGAGAACGGATAGTCGCAGCAGTTGAAATCTTCATCGACAGTTTCTATTGTCACATCCTCCAGAGTCCAGTCCCCACTCTCAATAAACTTTTCTGACAAGAAAAATAAAAATAAAGTAAAACAGTTAACTGCGCGGAGTTCCATTCAGACTCGTACCCAGACTTCTTACTACTGGAGGACTACAACTCAAACTCATCCCACATGTAATCACAGGTCTGGGAATGGAACCCAGGCCACAGCGGTAAGAGGCGAGTAACTCACCGCTGCATCATTTGCGCACCCTGCATCCCCATAACGTACTGATTATTTCATTACTCCAACCAACCTGAATGTGAATATTTTCCAGCTGGATTGATCATTCTCAGTAACCTGCTGTCATATGTCCATGAACCAAACGTTAATTTACATTCCTGCGTGTCAAACGGGTAAAATGTAACCCTCATGTCACAGGAGCTTTTAAATGTCGCAGGAGACATCCATTTATTGGTTCCATCGCTGTAAACCATGACGTATGTCTTGA